TCCTGGGTACAAAGGCCTCTCTGGGACGCATCTTCAACTCATTCAGTCCTGGTCTCTGGGGTTGGCGCATCTGCTTCCGCGTCACGTGATTCCCCTCAGCTCATCATATCGGTGGTGGCTTTTGCTCGACAAATGCATGGATAGGTAATGCGACCTTATTGAGGGGGATATATAGCAAGGATGGGGGAATGTGATGTTGGAACTTGCTGGCGACCAGCGCTATCTCTGGGGAAAGGAGGAACGGGCTGGGGGCCAGCGCCGTCTCTGGGGTAACTGTGGCACTGGCCCGTGACCAGCGCTATCGGGAAAGACGTTGATATAGAAGGTACCTGAAGGGATAGCATCTCTCACAGCAAAAACAAAGTGTACAGGGAAAAAAAAAAATCAGCCTTCGTTTTTTTTTCCATGATTCTATAAGTACAGTACAACCTTTTCCAAGCAGTACGATTGGCGAAACGTCATGTTGTTCATTGACTCAAATGTTCAAATCGCTGGGTAGTTTTTTGAGCAGGGCAGTACCCGTAAAACAGGGTCTGTTTCGGTTTTACCGGGACGATCTGGTCACCCTACCCCAGCAGCATGTAACGTTCAGTCAACGTTGTTTCAATGTTGTGTTACTTGACCAGATGCCCCTGCAGCCTCAGCAAAGGCTTAAATTATTTCTTTTTTTAAGTCAAAGAAGTGGTGTCCTCTGAATACTTACTATGGAATGGGCAGCTGAATCTTGCGAATTTGCATGAGCATTTCACTTATTTTGCACATTCCGGTTGGCCAACATCAGTAAAAAATTATGAATTTGCTACGTAGAAGTTGTTGGATGACAGAAAACGAAAATTCATCCACAAATAAGGGCCCGTCTAGGAACTGGCGTCTTTACCCTTCTTTCATGTTTCTTAAGTACGAGGGATGGTCGGAAAATAAGATGACTAGGCCTGTGGTTCTGAAATCGGGGAGCTGTGATCGATATTAGCATGATGAGTGCATTCGCAAGTTCAAGGTTGGCGACTCTGAGAGTTGTAGGGCGAGGCCAGTGTCGTAGGGCACGAGCAATGGCAGTCTGAGCATTGCGACTCGCTTGGAAACATCGTCACGCGAAGTTCGCAGTGTTAACCGTTTTCCATGGGCGAAGAACGTGCCAACGGCCGAAATTCATGGACAACTCATAGAAGTGCACGGAGACATCGTCACGAACCGGCAGAACGTGGCAGAATGGTGCTAGCAGTTTCGAAATGGCCGGACGAACGTTAATGACGCCGGAGTGTTCTCCCGAGCACATCCACGACCCATGTCAATATCGTGCGAATCGACGAGGTCATCCAAGAGAACGGACGGAAAACCTCAGAATAGGTACCACCACAATGCTTGCGTGACAGGTTCTATCTGATTGGAAAGAAAGTTCTCGGAATTTCTTGAATATCCAGTACAATTTTTTTCCAGAGCATGCTAGAATGTTCTGCGTGTGTTTATAAGTAGGTCGTGTCCTTCGGCATACAACCGTATAACAGCCCTGGTGTTCTCCAGCCATGAACCAGCCCTACCCTCTTACTAAGGAGNGTAATAATTGTTCATGAAATTCCGAGAACTTTCTTTCCAATCAGATAATCTGAAAGCTATTTATACCTACAAACCTCGTCTCGCTACTTTCCGATCATCCCTCGTGTTTTAGATCCGGAATAGAGATTTAAATTCTCTTAATTCCAAGTAACGGCCGGAACCAACGAGCCCGACCCTTCCCCCCCTCCTGTCCTCCGAAAGTTTGGTCATGGGCTAATAAGAAGAGACCGGGAGGGGGAAACTGAGGCTTTCCAGGCGTGGGCCCAGACACTTCGCGTTGCCGTTGGTTAAGCGGAATGACGTCACTGCGGGAACATGTAGAGCTCTTCGTTCGATGCAGCATGCCTTGACACATGCCACTCAAAGTATTCCCCTACCTTATTCGCGAATTTCGCTCGTCGCTGAAGTCTTTAATTTCGGATGGGGATTACCAGTGATGGACTTTGATTTTTACATAAATTGAGGTCTCACCGCAACGGGTGTGAAGGACCGTGATTTGTAAAGTAGATCGACAAGCGCAACAATACATATTTGAGATGAAGACAAAATACAGGGTGGCCACAAATTCGCGATTTGGAGGGTTTTAAATTTTTTATCGAGAACACAACGGAAAACAGTTTCCCAACATTCAAGTTTTTTCTCCGCATTGATAAAATGTCAATTTTACCGCTAGTGGGGTGACGATCGGACGAACAGTAATGGCGGAGTTAAGTGGAAGTGAACGTGCATTTTTCTGTTTCGCATATGAAGATACGCGTTCTGCTACAGTTGTACAGCGTCGTTTTCGGACGAAGTTTGCAAAGAACCCTCCTAGCAGGTCAGCAATTGTCCGATGGCATTTGCAATTTACCGAGATGGGGTGTGTTATCATAGGAAACCTGGTCAAGGTCGACCGTCGCTGCAAGAACAAATGGTGGAAACGGTGCGGGATGCTTTCACGCGCAGATTGCCAATAGGTGGGATGTGTGTGACCAAAGGAGCCCACAATGAGCACCTGCGACAACATGATAAAACTTGGGTATTGAGAGACTGTTTTGTAGTGGATAAGTTTTCCATATGTGTTCTCCAAAAAGGAATAACAAGCCCTACAAATCGTCCGCTAATTTATGGCCACCCTGTATTTCATTGCATGATCACAAGCTAACCTATCCTTGACCACTTATTTTCTGGACCGAAACAACTCAAGACTCACCTTCAGAGGAGCTCACTCTGACCAACTCAGACGTTCCTTTTTTCATTTTATGCGATGTATAGGGTGGCGCAAAAGTCTCTATGCATTTTTTATTAGCTACACTTCCCTCACGTAATTAGCGAAGCAAAGACTGGTCATACCCGCTGATTTGGAGGATGATATTTGTTAAAACTTGAAGGAAAAAAACCTGAAATAATTTTGGAATCATAGTCTCTTTTCACCTGATTCTGTATCTCCTATTTTAATTCATGGAAGTTGACTCTCTCCAACCATTCCAACCGGAAGGGAACTGTCAGAGACACTTATGTTTTCCATTATTTGGAAATTCAGCCTATCGATTGGACAAGGATCCTGATTAGAAAAGGCCTGAGAATTATTCATACGATACCCTTACATTTCCTGTCTCAGCATACCAGAGTAGGCAGGCCAGGCCTAATTTTCATTCAAAGTTGGCATGAGAAATTTGCGTCCTTGTGTATTGAAGGAGCAATGGGGTGGCCTGGTGGCTTCGAGTGAGTCAATATTCTTTCCATATTGAAAGTTATTAGCAATTGGACTCAGATTAGCTCTATCTGCGGGCGCTTGGGCTTGGGAAATTAATTCCAACTTTGCGTATTGTGACGTAGGTCAGGAGCTGCGTTCTGATTGGCCAGGATAGTAACCCGTAGCTGCGTTCTGATTGACCAGGATGGTAGCCCGGTGCTGCGTTCTGATTGGTAGGTGGGGTGACCAGGATGGTTGCCCGGTGCTGCGTTCCGATTGGTAGGTGGGGTGGCCAGGATTTGCGTTGTGATTGGCCAGGATGGTAGCCCGGTGCTGCGTTCTGATTGGTAGGCGGGGTGGCCAGGAATTGCATTCTGATTGGTAGGCAGGGTAGGCAGGAAATGCGATCTGATTGGCCAGGATAGTAACCCGGAGCTGCGTTGTGATTGGCCAGGATGGTAGAATCAGAACGCAGCTCCGGGCGAGCTGCGTTCTGATTGGTAGGCGGGGTGGCCAGGAACTGCGTTCTGATTGGTCAGCGACGGTCTGTGTGTTGATCCCCAAATCCGACGCGTCGGTGGAATCCGTGGAGACGAACGATGCATTCCTCGAGGGCGAGTGCTTTGGGGGAACCGATACGAGGCCGAGACGGATGCCAGTTCGCGAAGCACGGATTTCGTTCGTCCGAGTCCTCGTTCTCGATGAGCAAACCGTGTCTCGTTTGAATGCAAGTAGCGTGTCTCCCGACTCCCGCCTCAGATACCGGAATGCCTACTTGGAGTTCTACGAGCGACCGGTCCCGGACGACTCGCTCCGAGCTCCACGGAGTTCTTTCGGACGCAGTCGCTCCTTCCGCGTTTCTTCCAGGTCCGTCGGTCTTCGTGCTCGTATTTTGTCTCGTACTTGCGCGACTCGATACGAGCGATCTCGATGAGGTGTGAAATGAGGAATTGGAGGTTTCAGGCGATGCAATACGTGCAATTCGTTGCACTTAGCCTGACCAGTCGTGACTCTTTCGAGTGAATCGGGCTAAAAAGGAGCAATTCCAAGGATACAAAAACGGAAAATTCTACTTGAAAACTTTCTTTTCTGTCGATCTGTACTTGTCTCTATTGGTCAACCCTGGTTACTATTAAATAGTGAGATTCAGGGAAGGTCACAATGGGTCGAAATTGTTTCGATTGTTGTTATATTGTTAGTATGTACGCAAGTAACCACCTTAAGGGATGAAACTCGAGATTTCAAGTCATTATGGATCCACATGATACTTTTGTCCCACCCGCAACGAAAGTTACAGGTGGGACAAACTTTGCACATGTTTAAAATTGGATTAATTTGTAAATATTGCATACACATGTTGCATATCGATAGAAAGCTCTTTTTAAGAACTTGCATTTGGTCCCTTACTGAATCTTATCAAGCTCATGATATCTCTGAAACGGTTTAACTAAGGATGCTACAATTTTGGAGACTGGAGACGATCGAAGAAAGAACTGCTTTCTTCCTCCGATCGTCTCCAGTCGGTTTCAGTTTTTTTTTTCTGCGGGACTAAAGGTGGTGCATCTGATAGGAGATGCAACGGCTCGAACGAGTGGATTTTCTTCCATCGGGAGTTTCTAGGCGAAACGTCCCGACGGAGACGCGAGACGAGCCGTAGCCAACATTTTGGAAGCTTCCTTTGCTCCGATGCCGGCTGGAAAACGCGCGAGGATCCACTTTTCATTTCCCTCCCCGAAGTTGGCCTTCGCAGCCTTTCGTATTTCGAAATCCGATGCAAGAGAAGGAGTCGGCGAGAAGACTCTTCTCCTTCCCGAAGAAAGAAGTGGGAGACGGCACGAAAACGTGGAATCGGTACTCGGAGTCGCTCCGTCGTCGCGTCGAGACGGTGGGTGTGCATTCTTGCCGGTCTTTTCGGCACGCGCGGTGCGTCGCGACGGGGTCTTCGATGCCGATCCGTCGCGGGCGCCGAGGATCGAGGAGGATGCCTTTCGCCGTCTGCTGCCGTTTCTTCTGGGGCCCGAGCGGAGCCGTCGTCCGACGAGGAGAACGTCTCGAGCGTGGAGAAGGGGGAGAGTGGGTCCCGTGGGAGGCCCGTCCGTCGCAGACGGAGGAGTTGCATTTTCTCGTCGTTGCATCGAACGCCGGCGCTGCCGGTTCCGTCGTGCGACGTCTCGGCGCTCTGGCGTCGGGGGGCGGCGAAAGGAAGGAGGGGACGGGGATGCCGGAGATCGTCTCACCGAGTCCCAGTGCGGAACGATTCGCGAGCTGCGGCTCTCCTGCACGAGACGGCGAGCGTCGCTCGGGAGGTGCCAGCCCCGGCTCTCGCGGTCGTCCTTGCGGAGACACTCGTTCGTTTCACTCGATTTCGTCGCGGGTTTTGGGTGTCTGGAGCGGTGAGGAGTTTCGCGTCGTGGCGTGTGTCCCTTGCAGAATCGGTATTCGAGCGGTCCGTGCGACGAGTCCAAACATCTTTCCGAAATCCTACACGTGCTTCTGGTGAGTTTCGACTGCTCCTTAGACTTCTCCACTGAATGACTGGAATGGATCTTCGATGGGTTCGACGAACCCGACTCTGGCCTCGAGGTCGACGGACGGAATGGGTCGGGATTTTTTTCTGCAGTTTCTCGAGGGTAACGGAAATGGAGCCGATTCCGCCGATCGTTTCCTTTTGCTTACAGCCGTGATACGGAGCTACCATGCGGTCGGAGGATTTCGGAGGAGGACCGCGAGCGCTCGGGTCGGTCTCGTCGTTCGGTTCTCGACGGGAAAACGGTGACGTTCGGTCTCGACCGAAATTTAAATCGCCGTTCCGCTTCGAAGGACGCGTCGGCCGAGGCCGATGCGCCGTTCGCCGAGTTCGAAGTCGGGAGATGGAGATCGAGGAAGTGGAAGGGCCCTCGTCGAAGAGGAAACGGGGAGATGCCGAGTGCAGAAAGGGAGCAGGAGGACCCAGCTTTCGTCCCTGCCGATCGCCTCAACGTGTCCCAATTTTCTCATCTTTCTCGTTGCTCCCGTCGCCTGATGGAGCTCATGTGCCGAAGCATGGAATAGCTTTTTTTTTCATTTACCGTTTCCTTCTCGCTTGACAAATTTGTGCCGTTTTTTCATTACCCTCGTTGATGATTTTGGATACTCTCGAAACAGGAATAAGACGTATTTTCAAAATATTGCTCTGGTTCTTTCCTGGCACGAGTACAAAGACCTCGTGACATTCCGTCGCGAGTCGTGATACCACGATCGATTTTAATCAAAAGTTACTTTCTATAGGTCATCGGTTAAATGGGCAAAGAGGAGGATATAAGATATTATTAATATTCGAATCGTTGTCCCCCTCGGGACTGTGATGTGAATATTAATTCCTAAATTCCGGGACCGTTCCAACATGTATGAAAAATTCTGAAACCCGGGAAACTAAGAATTCGTGAGGAATACTACCAAAGAGTTCCTATGAAAAAAGGAAAGAAAGGTGAGACAATAAGAAGAAACCAAACCGTTTCAGATTTCTTCAAACATTCGGCACCTCGATTTCCGAGACAGAAAAAAAAAAAATCTGGTAAAACTGCCTCTTCTCTCATCTGGGAATGGCACGAGCCGCGTCCCCGGTGCACACCCGTCCCCGAGCCATCGTTTCCCGCAACGACAGCCCTCGATACGACGCCGACTCTTTCCCCCGGAACGAACGTTCGCCACGACCCGATGAAAGGTGTCACGGCGCCACCTTCGCGAGCCGCCATCATTTGTACGCGCGTGCTTTTGCGGCAAGTGGCGTGCATGCTGCAACCCTCATCCAGGAAGATACGCAGGGACGCACGTGTTGCCACGGTGGGAGGTGACTCGCGGACGAGTTCGGCGTATCGGGGGGAATCGAGGTGGTGATACGAGCTTCACGTCTTTACGTCATGGCCAAGTGCGAACCGGCCAGATGGGCTTGCTTCTCTCCACTCGGAAGGAAAGAGAGACTTTTCCAAAAAAATTGGAACTTTCTCCCACTGCTTTCAGTATCCTCTGCCGTCGAGTTTTCGCTAAATGACACTTCTTTTGCGATATTCTATGCCCGATCTTCACGATCTCCAGGAAAAAGTGCACGATCGTACCTTAATTACACGCATTTAAATGCGGCTCCTGTCGACCGACACGGGTCGATGCCTCCGTCAGGCGCAGGAACAGGCGTGATGCGATCGCAGCACGGGAAACGGCATCGTTCACTTGCATCATCCGTGCTCGCATCCCCCGCCACACGCACGTTCCCCCTATCACGCACGTTCCGCACGTGTCGAATCCTCGGCTCTCGTAGGCCGTGCAGCCGACGACCGAGGTGGAGGGACGAATAGAGACGAGGGCTGACCCTTCTGCACTTCCGTCGAGAGGGAGGAAAATAATCATTTCGCTTCCATCTGGGAACACGTATTCTTTCGTTTTGTCTCATTATTTCTTTATATCCGATTTCATCATAGGCCTGTTTTAGCTTGGGTATCTCTGGACACTTCGTCGGGCAACGTAATCAAAGGAAATAACAGCCAACACGGATTCGGTGGTAAATACGAATCTATTCGAATTCCCAGGAGCCTCCGAAGGAGCCTCGCGAATCACACAAAACAGGTGGAAATGAAATATCCATAAAAATCCAGATATATCTTCCGTGTTCTCATCGTCCAAGCAATCGCACTGATTTTGTTCTCTCTCGAGGAGAAAAAGGAAAAAAAAGAAACAGTAAATAGCCACAGCAGCGGAAGGCACCAAGTTACGAATGCGATCGAAATCACACACTCGAGACCTGCTCAGACGTCACGGGGCGGTGTTGCCGAGTCCCAAACGGGTCGTGGCACGCAAGATCACTGGGAGGTTCGCTTCCCCGGTCGTCATACGTCGAACGCATGGACACCAAGCAGTTTCTTCGGCAAGTCACGGTGTCGCATTACGATCGACGCACTGGAGTCCTCACCCCTAACTGGATGCACCATGTCTGCCGCCAGAACCTCCTCTCCCTCTGTCTCTCTCCATGCCTCTCTGGTTTCCCGGTCCGGATGGGGGTCGATGAGGTCTTGGGGTCCCGATTCGGCCATCCTCGAGGATTTTTGGGTAGGTGTCGATCGTTGGGACCTCACCGGTCCGGGGGGGAGGTATGCAGATCGAAGCACCATCACGATGATGAATATTTAAAAATAAAAATAGGAGCTAAAGGTATGGTGGGCCCCGCTGCCATGTGGTGGACCGTTACATAGCCCCCGCCACACCACGGTGAGATCCTCCCAACACCAGGGCTGGCAGAGTGCAAAACCCTGGTGAAGCTAATGACATAGCCATGGGAAGGTGTCCCATGACTAAGGAGTGCCGACGAGTCTTTTTCCAGACACAGACGAGTCTGGAAACAGACTCGCATGAGTCTGGAAAAAGACTCGTACACCACGCCAGGATCCCTCCCATTTTTCTTTTTTAGTTTTAGATGTTACTTCTACTTATCTTTAATGAAAGAGAGCGGCCATTTAATAATAAGCAACCTGTTTTTTAGTAGGTAAGATGGTTGGGGCAAATTAATTTTAGGTCCACCAATTAAAAAACCTACAAAATTATGAATTACAATGCTTGAAGTGTTTAATTTACAGAGTTTAATAGAATTCATATTAGATTTACATACTACAATAATATAGTTAAGAGATATGAGCCCCAAAGGAAGAGTTGTATCCCGGTGCCAGCTGGCCAGAAGGGCCTTAAGGGACGCGCTGGCGAAAAAAAAGTTAAAAAAAAACATTTAATATACAATCGAAAAAAAGTTAAATAGTAAGATCTAGGTTTGGCCGCAAAAAAAAGAATTAAAAAAATTAGATCAGAAAAAATGGCAAAATTAGGCAACGCATAAAAAAAAGAGCATAGAAAAAAAGTATCATGAGAAAAAATGAATTAATGAAAAACAAGCAAAAAAAACAAATTAACAAAAATAAAAACACATGCTACATTTCAAGTCCAGTTTAGGCCACTCATCGCCATTATACAACACACATACAATACAAAATTTAAAAAATTGACAAATAATGTAAAACATGAAATAAAATTCAATCCGGTTTAGGCCACAGATAATAGCAACATAAAATAACAAAAATAACGAAAAATTCACAAACATGACATCACAAAACCAAATGCAAGCTATAATAGGACGAAAAGAAAAAATAAACTTTTCGCTGGAGGTAGGAGAGGTCCGGCGAAGAATTGTCGTCCTCTTGAAATGGCTCCTCCAGGTCCCGACGTCCTCTCGCGAACTAAGAAAACACAGGGGAAATCATCAGATTCAAGGAAGAATTTGTCAACTTCAGCAATGGGAGGTCATTGAAGGAACTTTCCAAACCTGGTGATTACTTGCTGGAACGAAGAGTCTAAAGGGATGAGTGAAGTCCCCCTACTAAAGGAAAGGAGGAAGAATACATGATGCATTAGTAAAAAATGTCAAGAGTCAAATATTTAAACGGATAAAATTCAAAAGGAAAGAACGTTATTCAAATGGCACAGAGCAAAAGAAGAGGGTAATAATGATCTAAATTAATTAAGACTAATAATAATAAAGGAAAAAACCACACAAAAGCAAGACATGCAAATCAAAAACACATTGAACAAAAGAAGCAAATGAAGGACATGAAATTTAAAAAGATACGGACGGGAATACAATTAAATAAATAGGGAGGGAAACAAGCAGAACAAAGGCACACACTAGAAAAGGAAATAAAAAAAAATTCAAAACAAAATGGGAATTGTGGCCTAAACCGGACTTAAAACAGAAAGAAAATAATTAAACATGGAGAATCAAAGCAAAAACAAAAAAGACTACAATAGGAAATTGGAGTAAATTAAAAAGGAAACTTTGTTGATGGAGATAGGAGAAGTCCGGCGAAGAATTGTCGTCCTCTTGAAATGGCTCCTCCAGGTCCCGACGTCCTCTCGCGAACTAAGAAAACACAGGGGAAATCATCAGATTCAAGGAAGAATTTGGCAACTTCAGCAATGGGAGGTCATTGAAGGAACTTTCCAAACCTGGTGATAGCTTGCTGGAACGGAGAGTCTAAAGGGATGAGTGAAGTCCCCCTACTAAAGGAAAAGAGGAAGAATACATGATGCATTAGTAAAAAATGTCAAGAGTAAAATATTTAAATGGATAAAATTCTTTAATTAAAGAACGTCATTAAAATGGCACAGAGCAAAAAAAGAGGGTAATAATGATCTAAAAAATTAAATAAGACTAATAATAACAAGGGACAAAATTACACAAAAGCAAGACATGCAAAGTAAAAACACGAAGAAAAGGAGCAAATGAAGGACATGAAATTTAAAAAGATACGGACGGGAATACAATAAAATAAATTGGGAGGGAAACAAGCAGAACAAGGACACACACTAGAAAAGCAAATGAACAAAAACACAAAACAAAATGGGAATTGTGGCCTATACCGGACTTGAAAAGTTAAGTCATCTGTAATGGTCTGCCCCATAATCGGTGCAACCGTTCATGGGACAGCCCAAAAGCAGACTGAGGGAGGGAGACAATGAAATACTTGCGCGGGCGAGGTTACTTTGGATGCGCGCCTTTTTTTTGTTCTCGCCCAGAGGCAGGTTCGCTCTCGACCTTGGAAACAGTAAGGCTTGAAGGTGATGCCCTCTGATTCGAGATTGCAGACTAGACGGGTCTGCTTGGCAACTTAGGGACCGTTAGGAGGACCCCAACGAGCGATAGACATCTGTCAACGAAATGAGACCTGGATTTTCGTCACAAGTCATTCTTATCAGATCTAGGATTTGGAAATGAATGGTGTTGCAGAAGGAAATATTCCGGGAAGCTATTACCTAAAACTGAAAATGTGGAGGCATGAATTAAAACTCTTATATGATGGTTTTGGGCGGGGGACCTTTGTCTTTGGAGGAAATATTGAAGATGAATGGATGTCTGTAGATTAGAATCTTTACTTTGGAAAACATCATTTCCTTTCAAATCAATTCTTTACAAGCGAACCAGCGACCGCTATACTATGGGAGAAGTCTCCGAGTCATTTTCCTGGGAGTGCCCGTTGAGATCGGGGTGATTTTTTGCATTGACTCCTTCAGACGATTCGCTTCTGTCGATCTTGTGAGAAATCTTCCGTGAATTTTCACTCACGTGTTTCTTGTGACTCACTCCTAGATGGTGCCATTCCCTCCTTCATCATATCATCTCGCAATTCATCCACTCCTCCCTCCTCACATCTTCATCTACACAAAAGTGGAGATTCAATACGGTTTAATTGCAGCCAGAGATGAAAAGGTCATTAATGCTTCCTCACATTCTCAAAGTTTCGGCATATTGACAATCTCACCCTCATGTGACTTGGAGTAACTGGAAGCGAGACGAAATTCCCGAATACACATCCTCATATCTCAACAAAGTGATTGTTCTTATCTTTGTCAAATGTGACATAAGAATAATATGCGAGGAATAGATCTACTTGACAAGGGGAACCTTACTCTCACCATACGAAGTGCAAGAATTGCCAGGAGTCTCCTTGAGTCATGTTATGTCTCTCAACAAATGAATTAATTAGAATGGCTTCATTCCTTAGGCTTTTAAGTGGGAAATTATCTAGTAGAGGACGAAAGCTTCCGCAGAACAATTTGTTAGCATTTAGGGAATCGGAATACGTACAGCGGCGGAAAGAGCGCGACCTCACTTATATTACGGGAACTTCATATCTCTTGAATGAACGGCTAGATGTCAGGCCAGATGGAAGGCCACAAGGGGATTCCATCTAAGAACATCCAATGGAAGACCATAAGAAGTTGCCCTTGTAAGTTTCTTTGCTGGACGTCCAATGAATGCTCAATGAAGGACTGACACATCTTTCGTTCGTAATGTCGAAATCTAAATGAAATCATGCACTGGTCCAATTATTGATATAATGCCACATTCTCTGCATATTGATTGAAGTTATTTGGTTGCGACCTAAGACAGGAGATAAGAAGATCCATGGCGATGGCATCCTGTGTACATCCGACGGAGGACCGCCTCTCCAGAGGCGGTCCTCCGTTATGTCATCTTATGTCATCTCCTTATGTCATCTCCCCAAGTAGACACGGGTGATCCAAAACTCGTTCATGGACAGTCCAGAGGCGGTCGTCCTTTGGGTGTACGTAGGATGGCGTCGCCATGGATCGATATCTTCTTATGCATTTTCAGCGTTATTCGAGCAGAATTTTCCCTACATGGAACACTCAATTTGTTCCTTTTCATTGAATGAAGGTTTTATGGAATGGCGTTACGAGCATCCGATCGTGGGATTTATTTTGTTCTTTTTTTTCCCTTTTTTGATACCTGGGGGTTAATATCGCTGCACCCCTCAATGGTCATCCAAAAGCTTTCCCAAAGGAATCTCCAATGGATCCTCAGAGACGGATTAATTAATTTTTTTCGAGAGAGGTAACATGGCTCAAGGAGACTCCTGGCAATTTTTGCACATTGCATGAGAGTGAGGTTTCCCTTGTGAAGTAACTCTGTTCCTTCCCCATAAGAATCATGTCGGGAATAGAATAAGAATAGGAAATGGGGGGGTTTCACCTGGCAGAGGAAGCAACTGAACTCAGGCCCCACATTTTCCGAACATCTGCTGTCCGCTGAACCGCGCCACAGTGGGGCTGAGTTGCTTATCTGGGTGTGGGGTAGGGGGCTAGAACCGAACCAGGAAGACTTAAGCTCCCTCCCCTCGTAACGCCATTGGTTCTAGTGGTACCTCTATTCCAGCTCACTTGGAAGCATTTTTCAGAGAGGCTCCTCATACCTTCACTGTTGAGAATTGAATTCATACCCGTCTGGGGGATAGAGAATGGAGAAAGCACTACTTCCAGTGGATCCGTTTCACTTGACGATCTGACCTGGACACTATAGCAAAGTTCTTCCGAAGATGGAGACTCCGCCCAGACCCAACTAAAACATCGATCACCACCTTCCACCTCGACAACCGCGCCGCTAAAGCGACTCTTCGTGTCTCCTTCTGCGACCATCGAGTAAATAATGAGGCCATACCCAAATATATCGGCGTTACCCTGGACCGCAGCCTCACCTGCAGACCCCACTTAGAAAGAACGGGCTACTATGTGAAGGCCAGGGTCAGCATCGTGCGCAAACTGGCCGGAACCTTGTAGGGTGCCGGGGAAGTGCGCACAGTACGAACAGCGTCACTAGCGCTGGTTTACTCGTCTGCAGAATGCTGTGCTCCAGTTTGTTCGAGCAGTGAACACACCAAGGGCTTGGACGTCCAACTCAACGCATAAATTACTGATTACCGGGTCTCTCAAATCATTCCTGTCTTCCATATTCCACCTGGTATCTTTCCTTCACCTTCCTAGGAAAGTTGCTAGCTGTCCACTATTTCCCACGAATGCGTACTGAGTTTATATGTATCTAAAAATGATAGCCACTAAATTGAGAATATTCTTTGGCATGCTTCATGAGTTGAAGGTACTTGAAAACTGTGCAGAGTGTAGGATCCATGTCATCTCGGTATACCGAGTAACAGACTAAAGGCTTCTCCATATCCAGGAACGTGGAGACAGTCAGCCAGTTTTTATTTACGAAGCCAGGCTTCAGGAGATTACAGTTTTTCCCAATTGTTAAAGTCCTATTTCATATCTCAATGGACATTTTTCCAGAACTCCAAAATCCAAAACTGTAATAACTTCCTGTTCTGAAGAACTCTGAGCACATTTTGTATTGGATTAGGCGTGTCAACGAAACGGGAATAAGGACATTTCACTTACAGTTTTTCCCAATTGCTAACGTCCGTTTCTCAAAATTACACTTCCGTTTTCAAAACAATTTGAACAAATCCCTGAACTCTGCAATCTTTCCACAAAACTTAACACCCGATTTCATTGCTAACGTACGAAAAGCGAAACTCGAAGTGCGATTTTCATATCTTCACGGACCTTTTTCGAAACTTAACGTACGGAAAAGGATAAGAAGGCCGATTCGACGAGCGCCAAGGATGGATGCATGGATGACGACTACAATCCATTGGCCTATACTCCAACAAGTATTTACTTACGATTAATTTCTGTTATTACCAGCTAAAAAGGGTTGAAAAGGGAATTGCAGCCCCGAGTTTAGCCTCGTTGGCTGCTTCAGGAGTACGTACGTCGTGCATGGGTGAAAATTGTTGCTTATTGCCTCGAGCTGATCACATCCGTCAGCCATTTTATGGTCATTTTTGTTTGCCATAGGTTACAAAAGTTGTATGACCTTGGGGCCCATTTTCGTTCATAGATATGAGTGCTAATTGCGAAAATCTCATGTTATGATCGCCAAATCTTTCCAACTTAGGCTCGCTCAATTGGCTCGTAGAGGGGTTTTCGACCGGATGAAACGCCCTGTACTCTTTTTGAATGCTGACGAGGGATGCATTTTTTTTTTGCAGCCTCCTAGGAACTTACAACCCAGATAGGATCGTGTCTTATTGGTATAGGAAGCGATTTCTGCCATTTTTTAATGCATAAAAATGCATGTTTTTACACTTTTCTCAACATGTACATATTTACGTTTATATGCGCATATTTATGCATGCTTCGGTAATTTTTAT